CTTCTAAAACCTGAAATGGGGAAGGAGAAAGAAAAGAAGGACTAGTTATTCGATTGAGTTACTTTTTATTACCCCTCTAATCTCTTGTTCATATATTTGAGTCGAGCCCCTTTAGATATGGGGAAAACATTTGCTTCAGGTTGCTAAACACCATTCGTGGCATTCTTGCCTTGGCTGCAAGCTTGGTTTACTTGACCGAAAGGTGCAGTAGAACCTGAAGGAGAGGAATAAATACCTGGTATTTTCGGGGAATAGCCCGCTTAAATAAACTAGATTGAAGAAAGGGAGGATATCCGAAAGGCTCAGAGAATGGGGATAAACTACTCAGGATATCCTGATAACTAACCCACCTCGAGCTGATTATGAGAAACCCATTTACGCCTTTGAAGCGACCGATCTGCTGCCTTAACTTTAGAAAGATCGTTTTTGTTCAACATTTCTTTTTTTTTCTAGAAGTAGGGAAAGTAAGAGAAGAGTGAATGAAGACCCCCACGGAGCGGTAAGGAGATCGATGAATTTTTAATATTCCTCTTTATGTATGAAATTACAGACATATAGTGAATGGACACTGCTTTAAATAAAGAGCAGTGAATAATGCGCCAGACCGCCTAACCAGTTGAACCGTTATCTTTAAATTACAGACATCTTTTTGCAAAAAGCCGCTCCACGGTGGTAAAATTTTAGGGTTTAAGGAATAAGGTAATGAAATTCCGGTATGGACTTTTGTTGTTGTTACGACAGGCAGAGTCTCCGTAGTTCACGTTCATAGAGGGAGACTTCCCAAACGAAGACTCCAGGTCACTGAAATGAACACAAGGCCTTAGCAAGCCACCCAATGTAGGACGAATTACCGGAGCATCCAGTCGGCATTCTTTTTGGCTTGACCAAGAAGTCTTATGTCCTCCGAGTCGCACGGCATTTTAACCGAAAGAACTTCTTATTGAAGTGATGAGCTTTGAAGATATGATTTGCTCGTTTGGATTATTTGATTGGGCTTTCAATGACAGCAAATTGACTTGGAGCAATAATCAAACCGGTCAACATTGTATCTGGGCCAAACTAGATTTTTGTTATGGAAAGTGAAAGTCGTTTCGTTTAGTACGAGATCGCTTCACACCTTGCGGTACTTACACCTCTCGCCTATCGAAGTTCCTTGTCAAAGCTTAGTTATCTGTGAATGAGAACTCGTTTTGCTTGTTGGCTGGCTTATGATGATTTCCTGTCCCAATTCAACATATTCCTTTTTTTTCTCCTTTTACTTTCTCAATAATAAAGCCTTTGACCTTTGTATTCGTTCACCAAATCTTGTTCAATTCCATCCAAGCTTCGTCTATGAGAGGCGCACTCGTATGCCTTTCGAAGCTTCCCCCTTGTAAATATTTTCAGGTAAGAAAGCCCTCGCCCCGACATTGGCATTAGCTAAAAATGATTCTATTACATACCCAGTCTCGGATGGACGATCATTCCATTCTTTTTTATCTATCTTCAGAAGTAGGGTGAGGGGACGGAGCAGTCTTTCCATTCGAGTCATCTCCAGGTCAGTATTGCTACCTCTTTAGTTGCCGCCCCCTACTTGCTCATTCGCAATTACTACCACAAGAAAGTCGCCCCTATCTCTAAAGGGGCTTATGCACCCCACGACTTTCTTATGTTATGGGGTCTCAAAGACTGAATTTAGCTGCCAACCCTAGTCAGCAAGCTGCTTGTTTTGTTTACAGAGTGAAAAAAAGAAACTTGTCAACTAGACTTAGCGGAATGTCCAGGGGTAAACTGGTCGTTAAGATAGAGTCGGTGTCGATGTATTTCAATTCTTTCGAACAAGAGAGGTTTGATGCTTTTGAATCCATTGTATTAATTCCACCTAGCCAGCTTATCTAATCTCCCAGACTTTATCAAGCCAGTTCGACGGGTTGTAGTTCCACCTATCTGAAGTTCATGTAGGTCAGATCCTAGCCTAGATAAATGCTATCCGACTTGAATGATCGAATCGATTCTTTCACTTTGTCGAACTCGAAATGAAGGCTCTCTTTACCAAGAGGAGAAGATAAGGTCTTTTGGCAATAGAAGGTAAATAGATACAAATAGGTGCAAATTCTGATATCACCACAGAAAACTTGGTTCTTTCGCTCCTTACTGGCGGAGCAGCATACCGGAAGAAATTGGAAGATCGACGACGGAACGAAGAACGCTATTTTACGACAACAACACAACAAAGAAGAATTTTATGGGGTTTCCCTGTCGAGAATTAAAAGTTTTTCTCTTAGAGAGGCGTTTCCTCGCTTAGAATCTAATCTGAAGTAATGTGTTGCCGCGAATCGGCTGAAAGAGTTTCAATAAGCCAGGAAACCATTTCCGCTAAAGAGTTCTCTATTGCAATATTTTTTGGCGTGTTGCTTTTTTATGAAAAGAAAGGTTTCGCCCTTTCCGTCTCTTCTCCTCCATGCTTTAGTTGCCGAGTACCTGATGAATGGCAAATGGCGCTAGATCTACCGGATAATCAAATTGTACCAGAATGTTTACACTCCCATATTAATGAAGAGTTAAGATACCTCTTTAATATCGGGCAAAAGACGACCCTTTCCGATGCTATGTTTGACAACTTTATTTCCCCCTTGGCCTAATCAGTTCCTTCATCCGCCTTTTCTTTCGATGTTCGCCAATCGGAGAGGATAGTCGATTGAGTCTGAACCTTAATTTAAAGATGGAAGGAAGACCCGGATGAACTTAATTAGGAGCATGGGCAACAATGGATACATGACCCTTTAGACTTGATATTAATGAACTAAAGTTGTACAACCTTATTCAGTTACTTTCAACAATCTCTTATCTTCTATTAGCATTAGCTGGCAGAAGCACTACAGACTGAGAAACCCATCCAGTCCTTTATCGCATTTAATTGACGAATTCATTCTGTTGTGTAAAACTAGTGAAGGTGGTGGTGCTCAAACACCTAGCTACCGGCCCAAACAAAAGAGATTAGCCTCTTGATCGATCGATCCAAAGCGGATTTGTCTCTGAAGCCGGAAGCTTGATCGACACTAGAGCTATTGTTATATGAGGTGCTTACGCTCGAGGATGAAGCCTCATTCCAGCTCGTCCCTCCCGGGTCTCCACTGCTACCCCCCAGGTTTCCTCTGCTCTCCCACTTTNCTAATATATGTTCTTACCCGTAAGCATAAGTAAGATCTATTCATAGTTGGTCAGTCCCCCACGGCAGGGCTTCTCGCTTTTCATGAATGTGTCTCCCCCTCTGCTTATGTGAGTTTTACCCGCCTTTTACTCTGCTTGCTTCTGACTCCCTATGAGCCCTTACTTTTTCGGAGGGTCGGCGGGACATGGGAGCCTCAGCTCATGCATCGGTTTACCGAAATAACCTCTGCTCTCCCACTTCCTTCTATTCAAAAGGCGAGCAGCCCTTAAACAAAAAGGCCTAAGAGGGTTCTTCTTTATATATTACATAAGCCCTTAAAGTAGGTAGCCCCGAAAGCCGAACTCAGCAGAGTGGGTTTTGGCTTGCCCCTTTCTATCTTATTAGTCAAACCTAAACGTCCTTATTTCAAAACACAGCGCTAACAGCCTATCTGAAGTAAGAGCACCAGGTTGGAAGATGCTGGTTCGAGAGGACCTGGAAAAATGCTAGTAGAGCGAAGCGAGCCGCGCTAGCCTAGAAACGTTTTTTAGCAGTAAGGTACGGTCTAATTGTACCCAGCTACAATCTCTTCCCTTATAAAATAAAAAAGGGACCCTCGGCCAATCGTCACTCGACAGAAAACCGGGATGTCGATACACCGAAGAGCTACCAAGCACGATCACCAACAAAAGAGTAGCAAGTGCTGGCTTGGGGCTCAGAGCTCCTTAAGCTTCTCCGTCTACAAGGTAAACAGCTTAGCTTAGAGCACAGCGTGTTCCCTTGCTTCTCGCAAGAACGGCTCCTCGGTAGAGGAGTAGAAGCGTTGGTCTCCTTCGGTCAACTTGCTTGTGCCTGCTGTTACCTACCGGCCTTGTTGTTGATACCGGCAAGACCCGGCAGATGATGTATGCTGGTTGGTAGTGAGAAGACTCTTAGTACCTGCATACTATTCCAAATTTTCTGGAACTTAAATGCCAGTCTTTTGAATTCCACTACCGGACATAACAACCTCCTCCCAAATTGTTCTAAAATTCTAATCATATAAAAGTATTGTTATCTAACATGTTAATATTTATTAGATCCCTGACGCCAATAGTGAACATGAATGAGTATCACAAACATCAATGATGCATAGTTTTGCTGAAAATGCTCAACTTTCTCACGGTACTACTCATCTTTGTCCTTCGTCGCTACTGCTTGAGTTTTCCTCCTTTGATTTTTATTAATTTATTATTGTATTTGGGTTTACCTTGGATGCTTCTTACTTTTATATATTCTCTTTTCTCATGGTTGTTGATGTCGTAAGGTTGTGATAATAGTGAATTATTTTAAAAATAATATTCTCCGTGATAGTGATCATATGTGTAATATGATTTATTTATTCGGATATTATTTGTGTCTTTAAATCAATTCATAGTTGCCTGCTTGAATTAAATCACCTTTTCCATAATAGAATGAGGTCAGATGAAGAAAGCACTAGAATGATAATTCAAGAGGTCTATCAAACAGTTGTTGGTTTCCTACATTATCAGTGCATCTCCATAAGCTGAATTCTTTGTCTAGTTTGCTAGTGACTGAGTAGTAGTCTTGAAGGCCAGTGATGCGTACATATTATACTTTTTTTAAATAGTTATTAATTAATCCTTCTGCAAAAGGTTATCTACACTCTACAACCAAAAGATGTGGTGCAGTGGATGGGACTGCTCCTCCCTTAACCAGAGGTCTCGAGTTCGAGCCCTCGGTATGGAAAAATCCTTGGTAGGGAGCGCTTCCCTCCGAATGGGGCTCTACGCGACGCGAATCCGGATATAGTCGGGCTCCAATACGGGTACCGGACACCGGGTGGGAAACCAAAAAAAAATCTACACTCTATAGCAATATCTCTCCATAGACAACAAACACTAGGGATCCTTTACCCATTTATAATCATCAGTTTGCAAAATGAATAGCTTTAAATGCTTGACCAGCACAATATGACATTTAAAGCTCACCATTTATATTTTGTAACTGCAACTCCTTTGATGTATATAGCACCCGCCATTCGACTTTTCCTTCTTTCTGAGCCTCTGATTCATCAGCATTTTGATTTTCACCGGGACTACATATAAAATTACCCTCTGAAACTTTCTGTTGGTTCTCACTAGAAATATTTGATCTTTTAAACTGCCACTGAACTTCAGAACAAGTGTTAAGTTCATCAATTGTTGAGAACGCTACATCAGAAGGACAAGAAAACTAAGCTACATTTTCCACCCACTTCACATGTCCTTTATCCATCACAATTACCAAGTTTGCAACACATATTGCCTGTAACATAAAAGAATAGATTAGTATATGGAACATAGGCGCACTACTTTAGATATCTTAAATGAATGGTCCTTTGTATTGCCAATGTCCAGTCAATTTATTAATAAAGATGTTGATCTCAACTTGTTTGGGATTGAGGTGTAGTTGTTGTTAATAGTTGTGCTTGAAATTCCTAACCTGAGATTACTGCATCTTTTCTAATTATAAATGCATTTCCAGTTCCTTCTTTAATAACATATTACAAAACAGAAATGCATCTTTACTTATTATTTAGGCATTTCCAGTTCTTTTTTACCTAGTGTTCTCAAGAAATGCCAACAAACAATAGTAAATTGTTTCACCATCATAATTTGGTACATGAATCAATATCACTCACCTTGTGTCATACACGTTGATAGTTGAGCAACATGTCATTGAGAGGAAGGACAAATAGCACTGCATATATAGATTTTCAGAAGTGCACAAGGATCAACTTAAGTAAATTACAACCATATCTTACACGGGCACATCCTTCTCCCAGCTCCAAATGGCAAAAGCATAATTGTTTGTACATGCATTTTATTCGTCTATTAGTCCATCTAGTTATTTTTGCTTATAGATGTTAGATGAGGGAGTTGGATGACAAAGAATCTAACAGTGATGAAATTTGCAAGATATTTTTTCACATTATATTTTATCTTTTGACATAGTTATTTTATAATTTCAGGTCATACAGTCTGATATTCAATAATTTAGCGGGTGAAAGATTTCAAAATGATGAAAAGTTACGAAGATCATTTGAAGACCACCATTCGTCTGGATTAGTTATATAATGATATTAGCTATTTAGTCCAAACAATATAACTTTATGTTTTAAGTTACTATGACATTAATATTTTTATTAGTACTTTCTTTTATTTGTTATGATTTGATGAGATATATTATATTTTTTTAATTAATATATTTTATTTTTTGGGTCATATTCTAGACGAATGTAGTAACTTTTATTAATGGTGGCTAAACTATTGTTGTTATCGCTTGTGAATTTTAGCGCTAATTTAGTTGTATATACCAGCTATAAAAATGGACGATAAAAGGGCAAATTAAGATATTTTCACAAGCTATATTGCAGCTGTTATAATTGATGTAAATCAATTGTCATTAAAGATATTGACTTTTAGCGGTAATTTAGTTAAACATATTAACCATTAAAATAGACGCTAAAAAGGCAAACTAAGATGTTTTCAAAAGGGATACTATGGCCATATTAATTGCTACAAAATAATTGCCGTTAAAGATGCAAATTTTTAGCGGCAATTATTTTGAATTTAGCGACTATATAAATGGATGCTAAAGAAGTATAATTAGCCGTTTTGGTTTGAATTTAGTAGCCATTGTAATTGCCGCAAACAATTGCCATTAATGATAATAATTTTTAGCGGCAATAAATCATACCCTTTACCAGCTTTTGTGAGAAAAGCCGCTAAAGGCTTTGCCGACCCCCGCTTCAGCGGCAAAATACTAATTACCGGTAAATGATATAGCGGCTATTGTTATTGCCGCCAAAGCCCCTTTGTGTTGTAGTGTGGGCCAACTCTGCACTGCTTCCAATTTCTTCGGATCAACTTGATCCCTTCACTCGATACTACATGACCCAAGAATGCCACAGAATCTAACCAGAGCTCACATTTTGAGAACTTTGCATATAATTTCTTTTCTTTTAAGGTCTAAAGCACCATCCTCAGGTGTTGTTCATGATCTTCCCAACTCCGGGAGTACACCAAAATATCATCAATAAAGACAATGACGAACGAGTCAAGATAAGGTCGAAATACACTTGCAACAAATGTATAAATGTTTCTGGGGCGTTGGTCAGCCTAAATGACATAACAAGGAACTCGTAATGGCCATACCGAGTCCTGAAAGCAGTCTTCGGGATATCTAGCTCTCGAATCTTCAACTGATGATAACCTGAACGCAAATCAATCTTGGAAAACACTCGAGCACCTTGTAATTAATCAAATAGGTCATTAATACAAGGTAGAGGATAGCGGTTCTTCACTGTAACTTTGTTCAACTGGCGATAGTAAATACACATACGCATAGAACCATCCTTTTTCTTCACAAACAAGACATGAGCACCCCAAGGCGACACACTGGGCCGAATGAAACCCTTATCAAGCAACTCTTACAACTATTTCTTCAACTCCTTCAACACATGAGGAGCCATACGATAAGGAGAAATAGAGATGGGTTGAGAGTCTGGCAACAAATCAATGCCAAAATCAATATCTCATTGGGGCGGCATGCCCGGAAGATCAGTTGAAAACACATCAAGGAAATCCCTCACTACTAGGACTGAATCAATTTTAAGGGTATCAATACTGACATCTCTCACATAAGCTAGATACGCGTCACACCCCTACTCAACCATTTGCTGATCTTTAAGAAATGAAATAACTCTACTGGGAATTTAATCTAAAATACCCGTCCACTCTAATCACGGTAAACCTAGCATAGCCAATGTCATAGTCTTGGCGTGACAATCAAGAATAGAATAATGGGGTGATAACCAGTCCATGCCCAAGATAACATCAAAATCTACCATGCTAAGCAATAATAAATCGGCTCTAGTCTCAAAACCACTAAGAGCAATCAAACATGACCGATAAACTCGGTCCACAACAAGAGAATCTCTTACAGGAGTAGACATATAACGGGGAAACTCAAAGAATCCCGAGATACACCTAAATGCGGGGCAAAATAAGAGGACACATAGGAATAAGTGGAGCCTGGATCAAATAGAACCGATACATCTCTATGGAAGACTGGAATAATACCTATAATGACAGAATCGAAAGCAACAGCCTCTGTACGAGTAGGAATGGTATAGTATCTGGCCTGGCCTCCCTCTCTAGGGTGACCTCTACCTCCCTGACCTCCACCTCTAGCTGGCTGAGCAGGTGGAGTGGCAGATGGTACTGTAATCATAGCCTAGGAACCCTGTGGAGCACGTTGTGGCTGAGAAGTCTATGGAGGTGCACCCCTCTTGTCCCACACCATATGGCGAGTGTTGCCATACTCAAAACAAGCTCTAGGAGGGAGTGGTGGTTGTGACTAGCTCAGGCTAGGTCTGCTAGACTGACCACTAAAAGCACCCCGTGCAGGAGGCACACTAGATACTGGAGGTGCATAATAAGGCTCATGAGGTCTAGGAGGAGCTGGAATACCACTGGCAGTTGAAAGAGCTGAATGAACGGGGTGACTCACATAGCCCCTACCATGACAAACTGCAGTTGGGGCACGGGCACCACAATAATGGCCCGACTCTCGGGACCTCTTAGCCTCTCTCTTCTCCCTATCCCGAGCAAGTATGCCCTCTATTCTCCTAGCAATACTCACCACCTGCTGATACGCGATATCCATCTCTAACTCCCGATCCATGTTGGACCTGATGTTGGGAATGATCCCCTCAATAAACCGGTGAAACCTCTCTCGAATTGTAGTGACCAAGGCCGGTGCATGCCTATCCAAGTCACTAAAACCGACCGCATACTCTGAAACATTCATAGTACCCTGGCGCAACTGCTCAAACTCTGCACGCCATGCATCCCTGAGGCTATGAGGGACATACTCCCTCCAAAACATGTCCAAAAACTGAGTCCATATAAGGGAAACTGCCTCAGCCGGATTGTCCAACTCAAAAGTACGCCACCACTGATAGGCTTCCCCTCGAAGTTGGAAGGCAGTGAAAGAAACCCCACTCGACTCTGATATGCCCATAGTGCGGAGGATATGGTGGCACTCCTCTAGAAATCCTTGTACATCCTCTGATGCTAGAACACTGAATGTAGGAGGGTCGTACTTGTAATATCTCTCGAGCCTACGCTGCTCCTCCTCTAAAGTGGTTGCCCTACCCTCGGGCTGAATTAGGGATACAGGTGGTATTGGTATAAACTCTAGGATTTGATCAACCTAAACCCGTTGCTCCAGAGTGCAGGCGGCGGGAGTCTATGCTCCTCCCCCGGCCTGAGATGTGGTAGCAACAAGGGGAATCAAACCTGCCTGAGCTAGAGTGTTGTACATGCTCATGAACTGTGCAAGGGTCTCCTAGAGAGATGGAATAGTAGTAGGCGTATCTGGTGTCTGTGTTATGGCTGGAGCTACTGGTGGCTCCTCTATAGCAGCTCACACGGGTGCTCTGGCTGCACCACGTGTGCCTCCTCGGCCTCTACCCCGATCCTAAACACTGGCGGCTCTAGTAGGGGGCGCGGGTGCCTGGTCATCTCCGGTGGCACGTGTCCTCACCATCTATAAAAGAATAGAAGACAGAAGTTTAGAATTTCGAAGTCAATAAACTCGGGCGACAAGGAATTAAATGAAGTGGAATTTTCCTAATAGTTCTAAGCCTCCCAAAGATGAGTACAGACATTTCCATATAGATACACGAGACTCTAATAAACCGGCTTGTGACTCACGACCCCTATGAACCTAGAGTTCTGATACCAACTTGTCACGACCCTAGTTCTCCCTCTGTGAACCGTCATAATAGCACCTAGTCTTTATGACTAAGTAAGCCTAACATTTGCGGATAACTAGAACAAAAACATAAAAGTTAACAACTAATAAGTAAATTTAAACAAGGAAATGAGATGTCACACGACATATACAATAATTACTTCCAAACAGTACATAAACTCTCCAAAACCCGAAATATCATAAGTCACAAGCTAAAGAAAGAAACAATACCCCCATACTCCAGAGTCTAATAAAAGAAGAAAATACTAGAAGGGTTAAAATGGGGTGGAATACATATGGACTTCGAGGTCTACGGACGCGACAGATATACCTTGAAGTCTCATGAAGCAACAACAACACAGCTATACTCGAGTCTGATAGCTAGTACCTGGATCTGCACACGAAAAATATGTGCAGGAAAGGACATGAGTACACCACAATGGTACCTAGTAAGTGCCAAGCCTGACCTCGATCGAGTAGTGACGAGATCAGGTCAGGGCTCTACTGGTATAAATATAATGAAATAAGATAGAAAACAAGTATTACAATAAAATAAGTACTGAAATCTAACAGGAATAAAATTCAATAAAAGCCAACAACTCAGAACACAGTTATAGCAATAGGGGATCTCCCAGGATACCGTCCCGTAGTCCCAAACGTAAATGTGCAGGGGGATCTCGCGGAATACCGTTCTATAGTCCCAAGTAAATATACAGTGCTGGGAGATCTCCCGAAATACCGTTCCATAGTCCCAAAGTAAATATGAGGTACGCGGGGATCTCCCAGAATACCATTTTGTAGTCCCAAAGTAAATATGCAGCTCAACCAAACAGAGATAACAGTTACAGTAGGAAAACACAATTTAGGCTAAGTCCGAGTCAAGGAAGAACAGGAAATTTCACTAAAACATGTTGCGCAGAATTCAGATAGGCAGTTAAGACAGTTAAGGCACGTAGACATGCTTTTCTAAACTAAACAGGATAGTTACATATGCTAATGTTGCTCAATTAAAGGAAAAGAAATATTTGCTTAATAAAAATGGGGTTTTTCAACAAATAGACCATGTTCACACTCGTCACCTCACGTACACGACACTCATATATCAAACAGTACTAAATCCTAAGTAGAGTTTCCCCACACAAGATTAGGCAAGTCACTTACCTCGAACCAAGTTCAAATCAATCTGAAATAATGCTCTTTCCACGAATATCCGGCTCTGAATGACTCAAATCTAGACAAATCAATTACATAACGTAAATATAGCTACAAACAACTAATTTAGCTAATAAAATCAAAGCTAAGACAAGAAAATAGAAAACTCCCAAAAATTCTCGCCGGACCCATGTCTCGAAATCAGGTAAAAGACACAAATTACGAATACTCATTCACTCACGAGATCACTCGTACCAAAATTATCCAAATCCGATGTTAAAATTTCACTCAAAACTCAAAAATTCGATTGGGGAACTTTTCCCCCATTTTCCCAACTTTCTCACTCAAATTCCTTGATTAATGAAGAAAACAACAATAGATTAATGAGATGCAACCAAAATCGAGTTAGGAATAGTTACCCAGTAGCTCACCTGCAAAAACTCTCAAAAATTTGCCATCCACCGAGCTCCAAATCGAATTTTGTGATATGAACTTCAAATCCTCGAAAATCCCCTTTCTGCCTAGTGATCTCCGCTTCTGCGAGGGGTCCACCGCATCTACGGTCCCGCACCTTCGGAATTCCCATTGCAGGTGCGGATTTCACTAAAAACTCGGTGCCAGCTTCTGTGATCAAAAGGTCATACCTACGCGTGCGCACCTGCGGACCCATGTCTGCTTCTACTGTTCTATACCGCTCTTGCGGTCTCTCTAGTGCATATACGGGCATCGCAGATGCAGAATTCACCTTGCACCTGCGACCCCTGTACACTCCTTCCAAATCTGCTTCTACACTTAATCTTCCGCACGTGCGGTCCCGTACCTGCGGCCTCCCCACCACAGGTGTGAAAACACCAGAAATCTGAAGACTTCAGCAATAACATAAATTCCAATCTTGATCGGTTAAGTACCCAAAACTCACCCGAGCCCCCCGGACCTCAACCAAACATACCAACAATTCCTAAAACACCATACAAACTTAGTCGATCTCTCAAACCACATCAAACAACGTTAAAATCACGAATCACCCTCCAATTCAAACTTAAAGAACTTGAAACTTTAAATTTCTACAACCGATGCCAAAACCTATCAAACCATGTCCGATTGGTCCCAAATTTTGCACACAAGTCATAATAAACATTACGGGCCTATTCCAACTTCCGGAATCGGATTCGTACCCCGATATCAAAAATTTCATTACCGGCCCAAAACTCCAAAAATTCGACTTTTGCCATTTCAAGTCTAAATGAGCTACGGACCTCCAAAACACAATCTGGACATATCCCTAAGCCCAAAATCACCCAACGGAGCTAACGAAATTGACGAAACTCTATTCCGAAGTCGTCTTTATACTGTTCTGATTATGGTCCAAATTCTAAGACCCAAAACACTCCGAAACTCAAAACGAATCATCCCAGCAATCCATAAGAGCAGAAAAGATATGGGGAAAGCAGTTAATAGGGGATTGGGGCTCTAACTCTCAAAATGACCGGCCAGGTCGTTACATTTGTGGTAAGGTCATTATCTATGGAAAGTTCTTTGTCAGATCAGTTATTAGATTTATTGGCATATTCACTCACTTGACTAAATGAGAGAAAATCAGACAAATTAATTTATATGAAGTGGGTTAATTGCAATTATGTTAAGAGACTAAGTCGGTCATGAAAGGAAAATGAGCCAACCACGTTTGGAAAAAAAATAAAGATGATTGTATTCCAAAAATTTCAATAACACTTTGGCTATGTTGGGCAGGTATAAGCGGACATGAATCAAGTATGGGGTAAAATACTACAAGGATAAATGATATCTAAATAGGGTTTCGCACAAAAGCCTAGTTGTGTGAGGTTGTCCTGTTGCTGACTTCCCTGTGAAGTCTGGGCATGAATGAATGGGCCTGGCCTCTATCACGGCCATGATTTTTCAATACTCCATTATCAATTTCATCAAGAAAAAAAAATCATAAGAGCAAGAAATCATATAAATTCCTACTTAACTTCAATTGAACTTAGTTATACATGAACATCATATTATCACATATCAAACATAAATAAAGATTCGTAGATCCATTAAGCTATATATTATAAATCCTAATCTACTTGGTTCATTAGTGGTCATTTACTGATTCCAGCTTTGGCAGTAAAGTTGTGCAAAAAGTATCACCATTTTTTCAAACTTCAAATCTCAAAAGTTATTACTCAAGTAATCCACCTAAAACTCTTTTAAACAGATTCCAGAAAAACAAAGTGGTTTCCAGATCTAAATCCTCATGCTTTTACCTTAACCTTCAAATTAAAGAAATCTTTATTAGGCAACCTCAAGTCCATTTCTTCATATATAGCGTAAAACGATACAATCTCCAATAAGAAAGCAATAAAATTAAGACACCGGTTTTCTAATGGCTAACATACATTAGATCAAATACATGTCGATTTAGCCATAGCTAACAAGTAAATTTTCATTTATGACTTAAATACAAAGAAATCACCACAGATAGGCTAGATTTGGATCATTTTCATCTAAAATAAATTGCACAAAAAGAAAATAGTGAAGCATGAATATTCATGGGGATTATGAAGGATCGGCAGGATCTCAAGCTTTAAAGCATTACAAACCAATTAACAGAAAAATTCATACACCAAAACTCGACTTCACTACCGGCAATCATATCATCATGAAAATTTCATTCATTTCATAAGTTCATAAGGAGTAGGCAAAATACCTGGAAAAGATGAATACAAAGAAAGGATTAGAGCCCAATAGAGCTGAAAACTCCATAGAGAAAAATCAGCTACAGAGCAAGCAATAGGTACAACCAAACATGCCAGAAAAAGAACAGCTTCAAATATGCACCCAGAAATTCTAACAAGGACTCGAAAAGCTGAGGAACCTCTTCTTTTTTGAAGTTTTCTTGAGAATATTTTTTCAGATTCTTAGCTTTTGTAAGTATTCTATGTGTGTAAAGATGTAGAGATCAAAAGATGCTTAATATGAAGGNCAAAAAAATTTAGGAAAATGGCATCTTTTGCAATTGAATTGGCCAGCTATCCTTTTCAGATATTTTTTCTTATTTTCAGCATCTTTTCTTAACCAATTTGGACAGATGTCCATCATCTATTCTTTCCCTATTTTTTTCATCCCCTTAACTTCTGAAATTGACCCATTTTGACCTTTTTTTATTGCATTTTAACCCCTTCCAAACTCTTCTAAAATACTTCATCAACTAAAAAAAAGTTTTCCTAAGTTTCTATCTCATTTACCCCCCCCCCCCCAAGTTTTAATTAATACCAACTAGTGCCATTACCTCAACCTATTGTTCTCTTTTATTCCACAAAATCAATATTTAATAAATACTCCCTCTGTTCCAGTTTATGTAAAGCTTTTTGACTGGGCACAGAGTTTAAGAAAAAATGAAGACTTTTGGAATTTATGGTCCTAAACAAGTTAAAAAGGGGTCCAGAGTATTTGTGTGGTTATAAAAGCTTCTCATTAAGGGTAGAATTACAAGTTTAAGCTAAATTATTTTCAAATTTAGAAAGAGATCATTCTTTTTGGAACGAACTAAAAAGGAAATAAGTTCACATAAACTGGAACGGAGAAAGTAACAATTAATTAATCTAAATTGATATTAGGCTATCAAGTATGAATTAATCACAATCAGCAAACTAGTTGACCTATCAGTTAAGCACATGCGTAATTAAAACCATAACCTAATTAATCGATTAAATTTCAAGTAGAACTAAATCAAATAATTATTCAGAAAGCTAAAACATTTTCAATTATTAACCTAAGCATGTTGTAAAACAAATAATTGAAAAACTAAGACATAGATTTAGCAACTCTAAGGAATGAAGAAAAGAAGTAGGGGATTACCATGTGAAACACTGTTGACCGAAAAGAAAAGAATTCCGGACGATGATCGACATCGCCATAAAAGCAATGGCTTACGCTTGAGGGTGTAACTAACGCTGTATGCGACGATGTTAGCCATAATCCGGTCAACATCAAAGGACTATCAAAAGTTCTGGCTGGTCAATGGTAAAGTGACCGGCAGCCGGCGACCTTGAAACGAGACAAAACCAACGGCAACCTATAATACTAAATGAGAGAAGTCGATTGGTGTTGGTTTTAAGTCCAAACAAACTGGGATTTGAGAAAAAAATTGAAAAGAGGTGGATTTAGGTTTAGGATTTCCTAGATTTAAAGATTAAGAGATTCTGGAGGTTTTTGAAAGAAATAATGGAGGGATATGGGATGAGAAGGATGTGGGGATTCTGTGATGAAGATTTTGAGGAGATTGAGGTTGTTTGAAGCGGTATCGCCGGCAAAGGGTCTTGGGGCGGCTAGGGTTTGGGAGGGGATTTGGGAGAGATGACACTACTAAAAAAATCAAGTTTTAGCGACAGATAAATTCTATAGCTAAATAGAAAAATCCGTCGCTAATCTCATTTAGCGACAAATTAGCAACATATTATCAAAAGATTCTGCTAGCTACCAGCATTTTAGAGACAGATTAGCAACGACGTTCGTAGCTAATTCTAGTTTTTTTTTGTAGTGTGAAGGAGATGAGAGTGAAGTATTTGCTTAGGATTTGGGGGGAGGAGGGGGGGTTCCGGACAGTTATAAGGGAAAAGGGGAATTAGTTTGTAGCCATTAATCTAACGTAATCAATGGTGGGGATCAGCCCGGATTAAAACGGAGTCGTTTTATTTTAAAGTGGGGAGTGGACTGGGTCAGACTTTGGGATGGATTGGGGGGATTTAAGGCAACTGGGCCGTTTAGAGTTGGCCCGGTCCGATTTTGAAACTCAAAATGGCCCTTTTCCTTTCTTTCTTTCAATTTCAAAATTAACCCACTATTAAAATACCCAATTAACCTTTGCACAATTTAACCATTAGAACCAAATTATCTAAAAATTAACTAATAATCACACTAATTGAATTATTAACTAAGATGTAAAGAAAAAACTACTAATATATTTTTGTTGTAATTTTCATGTATTAATTCTAAAGATTAATGAGTGATTCCTAAAATGCAATTAAACCTAAAATGTCATGAAATGAAGATTTAAATTTTTTTACAGTGTTTTCTATGATTTTAAGATATTAAATATGCAACTAAATGCAAACAAGCAATTAATAAACTCCTAGAAATTCTATAAAAATTAAAATCAATTAGAAAAAAATCTATTTTTTGAGGATTTTGTAGGAGTATTTTTTGTACGACAAAAATTACGTGCTCACACCAGGTCCTTGGAGGATCATTCCTGTCAATCACCCTATTACGAGCAATTATATGTTTATCTTTTAAGTGACTAATTAATTAAAAATATTATACATAAACTAATGCGTTTATAGAAGTTAAAGTCGTCCAGAAACAAAGAATGGATCAATGGAATAACAAAAATGGAAAGAAAATGCTTATTTTTGGTATAGTCCAGTCCCCTGTATTTCGCGGGTCCGATAGGTAAAACGGTTTTTTCTCATTTCATTTTCCTCGTAAAGCAGCAAATGCCAAATTACGCAATTTACCTATGTCCACAAATCTTTTAATTAATTAACATCATGTGATTATCACATAAAAGTGCACGTCAAATTTATTGAATCTCAATCTGCATGCAAATCATATTGACAATATATTGTCGTTCTTATTTTTTTTCTGGCATTGATGTTTTGGTTTGTGAAATGAAGGTATAATTGATCTTGTGCTCAGTGGGGATTGATTTGAAAAAACACCAAAATTAAGAAAAATGTCTGGTTTTGTTGGTGTTGTTGTTTCTGATCAATGGCTTCAGAGCCAATTCACCCAAGTCGAACTTCGTGGCCTCCATTCCAAAGTATGTTTGATATTTTGTTCTTTAATTTTCTTTTACCGCTAGAAATACATTTTTTTCTTATAATATGTTAGCTGAAATTTGGTTTACAGTATGTTTCTGCGAGGAACGAATCTGGAAAGGTTACACTGGGAGATCTGCCGCACGTTATGTGCAAACTAAAGGCCTTTAAAGATATTCTCACTGAAGATGACATTAGCCACATATTAAGCGAGTCATCTTCTGATATGGCTGAAGAAATCGATTTTGAATCCTTTCTTCGGGTGAGTTGTAGCCAATTTCATCGCGTACTTGTAATAATTTCCTCGTTCTCTAATGTTCTCTACCAATATATTTGGTATTCAAAAGGAATGAATTACAAACTTGGCTTTAAAGAATAGCTTAGAGTTTATCGGAAACAGCCTCTCTACCTTCACAAAGTAGAGGTGTTGGGCTAAAACTACCCTCCCCATACCCCATTTGGGGGATTACACTGGGTTCGTTGTTGTTGTTGCTTTAAAGAATAGCTGAATAAATAAACTTCAAATGTCATAAAGTTCATGGTTCTCTAATCTACTTTGACATGTTTGGCTTTCATCTTCGCTGCATCGTCATTTCAAGGATGAATAAAAGCAATGAGCCTATCAACCTGGCTTAATATGAAGTTCTCTTGTAACTTACTTTGTTATTCTTTTATTTTCTTATCTTTCTCGAAGTGCTTCTCATAAGTTCGTTGTATCAACTGAAGTGATGGAAAATAAGTAACCGTATATGTGTGTTTATTATGGCTAGGCATATCTAGATTTACAAGGACGAGCTACTGCTAAACTGGGGAACACGAAATTAAAAACCTCGTCCTCTTTCCTCAAGGCCAGAACAACCACAATTCGTCACAACATTAGTGAATCTGAAAAGACTTCATATGTTGCCCACATCAATAGCTTTCTCAGAGATGACAAGTTTTTGAAGGATTATCTTCCTATTGATCCATCTACTAATGCGCTCTTTGATCTGGCAAAAGACGGTGTTCTTCTATGGTAAGTGTTAAGGATGCAGCATACAATGATTCTAATTCACTTGCTTGTTTGTTGATTCATTTACTAAACCATGTAATGCAGTAAGCTTATCAATGTTGCCGTCCCTGGTACTATAGATGAGCGCGCTATTAATACCAAAAAGGTTCTTAATCCATGGGAAAGGAATGAGAACCACACTCTTTGCCTCAATTCTGCAAAGGCAATCGGCTGCACAGTGGTCAATATTGGCACGCAGGATTTAGTTGAAGCAAGAGTACGTTAACATCTGCGCGAGTTATTACAGTAGTTTTCGCACATAAAATTATAATAATCAATATTATAGCTGCTGAAGTTTCTTGTGTTTTTTTGTTCACTTAGCCTCATCTGGTTGTTGGGCTGATTTCTCAAATTATCAAGGTATTTTTCTGCTATATACCTGTTCCATATGCTCGTAATGCAGCGGGAATCATTACTCATAATTTTTTATGTTCTTGTTTTGAAATATCAGATACAACTATTAGCTGATCTCAATTTGAAGAAAACTCCGCAACTTGTGGAATTGGTGGAGGACAGCAAGGTTGCTAATAGTTGATTGGTTTTCCTGTTTTGGTTTTAATGTTGCACCTCCTGGTCACTGGTAAAGTTGTTGTCATGTGACAGGAGGTCACGGGTTTGAGCCGTGGAAACAGTCTCTTGCAAAAATGCAGGGTAAGGCTGAGTACAATAGACCCTTGTGGTCCGGCCGTTCCCTGGACCCCGCGCATAACGGGAGCTTAGTGTACCAGACTGCCCTTTGTTCTAATGCGGCACCTTGAAATTCATGCTAGATTAAATTATAGCTGTAAAATTTGCAGGATGTGGAGGAGCTGTTGGGTTTACCTCCGGAAAAGGTTTTACTGAAATGGATGAACTTCCATCTAAAGAAGGCAGGATATAAGAAGCAGGTCAATAATTTTTCATCTGATTTAAAGGTGAGATAGTTCTAAAAGTTCGATATCAAATTAACTTTTTAGGAAGTAGTAGCATTACATTTCAAAGGAGATTTTTCATTTCCTAAACATGAAGTTTACACTTACACTGCAGGACGGAGAGGCTTATGCTCATTTGCTTAATGTACTTGCACCTGAACATGGTACAACCACCACACTAGATGCTAAAGATCCAACTGAAAGAGCAAATTTGATTCTTGAGCAAGCAGAGAAAATGGATTGCAAAAGATATGTTACTCCACAAGACATTGTTGAGGGTTCCACAAACTTAAATCTTGCATTTGTTGCACAAATATTCCAACACAGGTAATAACTAAAAGTTCTTTTCCATTGACCAATTATCTGAAATTTCTCTCTTTAAATAATGCGGAAGATGTTGATACATCCAATATAATTTTTTAGTTTCTTAATTTTATAGTCCGATTTCATAGCAAAGACATAAGGAGAAAAAAAAATCCTCAAGATGAAAGTTGAGCTAAATTAAGCCAACTCTCAAGTCAGCTTAGTCTTTGTTAACAATCTGCAGTAATGTTCAGTCTACACTAAGACATGGAATATGAGGCTTGCTGTCCTACTTAACTTATCAACCGACCGAGCTATGTATACTATAGCGTGTAATGACATTATATTATTCCAATTTGCATTTTTATGGAGCCTAGGGACTAGGGTTCAATGACTCTGTTCAATCGTAATTTCTTGCTTCTTTAATGCTTTTTCATTTAGTTTCTTCAATAGCATTACATATGCTTGTGCAGTTGTCCGTAAGTCCATGATGGATATTCGTCTGAAACTGAACTCTGATATGATCAAAAGTAGTGTGATGAATGTTGATGCTAGTTGAAACGTGTTAGTTCTGTCAATTTAGTCTTCCAATTAGCGACAAGGATGCTAATAGCAAATACTAAGCATGTCGATTCAATAGTGAATATTTCTACCTCTAAGTGATTTGATATCATTTGGTAAGAGAAGTACAAACTTCTCTAGAAAAAAAATGAAACTATGAAAGCACATATATTGAATGAATGATTATGTGAACTTAGTTTTATGCAGTTGATGCAATTGATGAATATTAAGATAATCTATTAAGGCACCTTGTTGTTTTCCCTGGAATTAATGCTTGTAGACAACTACAAGATATGCGTAGATGTAATATTCTTGATTTCTGTATGATGGTTTTATACTTCAATGCATCTTTCGCTTGTTTTTAGTATAATCTTTATTAGAAATCACTGATGATCTTGGAGTAATTAACATGTTAATGTTTATGCTTAGTGTAGTTCATAATGGTGTACTTTACCATCTATAAAAGAGTCCCCTTTTTACTGTAATCTAGGAATGGATTGTCAGTGGACACGAAGAAAATATCTTTTGCTGAGATGATGGAAGATGATGCTCAAACATCTCGAGAAGAAAGATGCTTCCGGTTGTGGATGAACAGCCTTGGAATTGATACTTACATAAACAATCTATTTGAGGATGTGCGAGCAGGGTTGGTGTTCATTGTTTCTTTGCTGAACATTATTGGACTTCATAAATATGATTTGTTGATAATCCTCTTATGCACAGGTGGGTGCTATTGGAGGTACTCGACAAAATTTCTCCAGGATCAGTCAACTGGAAGCAAGCAACAAAACCCCCTATTAAGATGCCTTTTAGGAAAGTTGAGAATTGCAACCAAGTCATAAGGATTGGAAAAGAACTGAATTTCTCCCTTGTCAATGTAGCTGGAAATGATATTGTACAAGGAAACAAGAAGCTCATATTAGGTAAATTTTGAACCTCCCTTTACTTTCCAATGTTGCTAAACTATATGCTACCGGAGTAGATTCTTTATAGTGAAGGGCAGCCCGGTGCACTAAGCTCCCGCTATTCGTGGGGTCTGGGGAAGGGTCGGACCACAAGGTTCTATTGTACACAACGGCATTTCTGCAAGAGGTTGTTTCCACGGCTTGAACCCGTGACATCCTGGTCACATGGCAGCAACTTTACCAGTTACGCCAAGGCCACTCTTCAGATTCTTTGTATTGAAGATGATACAATTACAAACATTTGGCTATGTGCCTTAAATTATCTAGTCGTTATTAAATGTTCTATTATTAGAGAAGTAAATGATTCATTTTCTGTTTTCAGCCTTTTTGTGGCAGCTAATGAGGTTTACAATGCTGCAACTATTGAAGAACTTGAGGTTTCATGCCCAAGGAAAGGAGATAACAGATGCTGACATCTTAAATTGGGCTAATAGTAAAGTGAAGAGTGCAGGCAGAAAATCCCAAATGGATAGCTTCAAGGTGATGAAGAAAGCATCAATTATTGATATATCAGTTTCTAATTTCACAATGCCTGAGTTTTCTGTTTTGTTTTGTTAGGACAAAAGCCTATCAAATGGGATGTTCTTCCTAGAACTTCTTAGCGCAGTGGAGCCCAGAGTCGTGAATTGGAGCGTTGTAACCAAGGGGGAAACTGGTATACACTTAAAAATATTTTGGCTTTGATTAAATGATCTGAACAACCTTTTTCTTTGGGCTTCATGAGTATGCTGACAATTCTTGATTGCAATTCCAGATGAAGATAAGAAGCTTAATGCAACTTATATAATCAGTGTTGCGCGGAAACTTGGATGCTCCATCTTTTTGTTGCCAGAGGATATAATAGAGGTAACATATGATACAACAAACAGCTTTCTTGTGCCTGCATTTTGTACATAGAATAGATGTTTATCGTCTGGTTAAAGGCTTTATTTTGTTGCAATTAAGTGTTTCCATTACAGATATCATAGGTCTAACTATGCTTCTATTCTGTAACATAATAGAGTAATACTGAAATTAATCAGTGGTTATACATTCAAACATGACACATCGTGCAGACCAAAGTTATATTGAATGCTACTACTCGGGTTCATTTTGAATACCTCTCCCGATGAATCCTGTGAAAGTAAATTCAGATGTACCTATGAGATTAGTGATCTATTATTTCCGATTTCTACTTAGCATTACATATCAAGTAGTAATTTCTTGTCTATGAAATCTTAGCTTCCACACAATACTGTGGTGTTTGCATCTTAGCAATTTCTTCATTTCTTGTCTATGAAATCTTAGCTTATAAAGAATGTATGGTGTTTGCATTTTGCGTCTGCCAAATATTCAGCAGTCAGCCTTTTGTGCTGAAGAACAACACACACACACGCGCGCACACACACACATACATATATATCATCACTCCGATCTTGGTGGTGTTTAAAACAAATATAAAGCTAAAGAATCAAATCTTTTCCTTGACAACAAATTGACTTTGGCAAACAGGTAAACCAGAAGATGATCCTTACTCTAACAGCAAGCATAATGTTTTGGAGCTTGCAACACAAAGGTGGAACGCCAGAGACCATCCTTGAAGAAGACAGTGCTGCTTCCGATGAATCTCCAGCAGCAGCCACTGATGGTGAGAATGCTTCTTCCTAAGCCAGAAAAGGAGCAGAAACAAGACAGAGAGAAATTCATGAAAATAAATACTAGATAATGTCGTTCGTATTGTCACTGATGGGTGGGAATGCTTCTTCTGATTTGGTCCTCGGCTTTTGTTTTCAAGAGGACAAATCTCATATAGTTGGTCAATATGTCACTTACCTATATAATTCGTTTAGTCACTACTATTTATCACCACAAAGTGGTTAGGATGGTAAAAGGGAAGAAAAAAGTAACTGTATATTTTTTTCAGAATCTTTAGGCTCCTTGGACTTAACAGAATACCAGGGATTTCTAATAGACAGCTATTGTGTTTCCTTAACAAAACTGATATGAGATTTGAATGTCAATCTCACCATCAAGATTTATAACAAGCAAGCTTAAATCAGATCCTTCTACTTCAGGCATAATTAAAATCCTTCAAATATTTGTTCTATGGCAATAACAGATCCAGCAATCCAACAAGTGGGGTCTTGCGGGTAATGTGTACGCATACCTTACGCCACCTACCTTGTACAGGCAGGTAGGCGTAACATCTGGATACATACTACCCTCTCAGATCCCACTTCTGGGATTACACTGATTTGTTATTGTGGGATTACACTGATTTGTTATTGTTGTTGTTGACTAAGAACACCATTATGAGTCCGGAATTCCATTTCTGGGGAAAATTTGAGGAAATATTAAATAACAAAGTTTCAAGACTCCAGCAATTGTCCTACTGTTTATTTATTTAGATTGGTCCTCTGGTCAAGTACAATTGCATGGATCAGTTCGTTAAAAGGAATTTAAAGAATAAGAAAAAAGATATCGTTCCAATCACTAACAGGGGAGGAAGAACTTCACATATAAGATCACTTTTATTTCCTGTTGTGAAATCCTCCTTTGGTACATTAACAAACGGCACATTTATAAGATTCAAAAAATAAAGAAATAAAATTCATATGGGTTCTTGTTCATTTGGTGCAACCACTGAAGGTGGCACGATGCTACTTGCATTACATTCAAGTTCATCAGCTTTTTCTTGTTCTGCAATATGCATCAGCATCTCAAGGCGCTTGTCAAAAAGTAATGCACTCTCATCTCTCTCATCAAGTTCAGCGGCTTCAGCTTCTAGCCATTTCTCTCGCAAATCATCTAAAAGGTTTCCTTCAGCTGTGTTCATCTCAGCTCCTGGAGCACTCGGGGCAGTTGTACGAAGTGATGAATCCCCAGATGGTGGTGGGAGGGTCAAAAGCATTGCCCTAAACTCTTGAGTATCCGCAAATGTCTCAAAGTTACATGCCATTGCGTCTAGACAATACTCCCGAATCTTAAAAACACCATACCTACAAGTAAAAAACAGAAGAACTTAGATTTATTAACCAAAATTATACAGTGGAAATAGCCTAGACACGGCCTTAGATTGGAGCATTCTCTTTTAGCTCTCCTATAGTTCATCTAATATCTAGATAGACTGGAGAAGCAGAACCCTAGCTATTTCCTCTTATATGACAGGCTTTGATACTGAGCCTTTTCCAAGATGCCATGCAAAATGACACTGGAATACAATTCCTTTTGTAATTAAATAATAGACTTGGATCAAATTGATCATATGACATGTCACCATCGCACAAATGCTTCCTAAATGTATTTCATACATCTCGTGCTGATTCAAGATCATCTCATATCTCCATATCAGGATATTACTTTCAAAAGACCACACTTGAAATATGCATATGGAGTATACACTAAGCATGACCAACATGCTACTGCTCAGCTAAGTTGCTCGGACACAGTTGCGGGTGTCCGACACGGGTGCGGATCTAAATAAGGTTTGGGGATACAAATCCTAGTACAAATACGAGTGCAGGGATCCAGCTAAAAATAATTCTAAAAAATAAAAATATAAAAAAAAATCTCTAAATTATGAGAAATTTTGTGGAATACTTACGTATAGCTTGTAAAGTGTAGGTTTCTTTTCTATTCTCAAGTTGTAGATAAGTAAAGGATTGATTTTCAAGATAAGGTATGTTATTTGCTTCAAATTTACCCGAATTTTGGTTCTAATTTTGGGAATCAAATTGTATCTCGTCTCAAATTTTCCGTTCGTCGTAGTCAAAGTACCCAAAATTGTTTGACCAGATCTGGTGCGGATCCCATAACCGCACCCATATTAGTGTCGTGTCAACACGGGTACGGCACCTAACTGCCATGTCGGAGCAACTTAGTTGCTCAGAACACAAACCTTCTAACACATAGATCATGCATTTCCTCTTGAAGCATACATTGTTATAAAGAAGCTAATGACGTTGGAGAGTTTCTTAATTTTTATTTTTCTTGATAAGGATGTTGGAGAGTTTTTTTCTCCAGGATTAAGTCACAACTGATTCTGATTTTTATGAGGTAGCTTTTTCTCTTTTCCATAAACCAAATGTTAGAAGCTTGGGAGCAGTTACAATAATGTTATTCTCAGTTTTTAATGCATATTACACTAACTCTTGCTCTTCCAGCTAGACAGTATTAGATGATTAATGACGGGACTACAGACATCAAATCAAACTTACATACGGGAATTTTAGCTGTCAGTCTAAACATCCAAAAAGGTTGATTAGCATATGGTGATAATCCACAACCAAAGAGATTAAAATAATTCCTAAAGAAGGAATATGACTGAAGAAGACAGATAGCACATACATGTCTGATAATACCAGCCAATGGCACAACTCAACAGGAGGAACCATTTCCAAATGTGGCAGCAGCGCATCTGCTACGACACGTTTAAGTGGAAACAACAGGTACCTCGAAGCAGCATCAAACATCTCTTCAGCCTGATAAGATTGCGTGAATCATAAATTAAACTATGTGAGCAATCAACGCAGTGGAGAAAGAGAGAGAATTTCCTATTCCTTAGAAGGATAGCTATTCTACAATAAGAAATTCAAACAGCGTACTTGATCAGGGTCAATGTCCTTTAATCCATCAGTATACCTGGTCAACAAAAATATGATTTTGTTAGCAAGTGGTTGAAGATGAAACAACTGAAACAAGCACAGCTGAAAGCCAAGTCATATGTCATTTGAGTCGCATCAAAGTGAGTTTGTGAGTCATACTGGTTATCAAAGGTACAATCACGTCAACTCAGTTGATGANTTTCTCAAAAGCTCCAACGGTCAAATCATGTTCCTCAATGCATGGAAGTGCATTATCAGGTAAACGATCTCTTCCTTCCAGAAAATCCTTCATGCGCGACAACCTCGCTTTAAAATATTCAGACCTTGATGCTAAGACAACTTGATGGCAACGAAAAATCTTCTTATCAACTCTGACACAAACATCTGCCAGATCATCTTCATACTCACTAATCTGCATTGAACTGACAAGGCATACAAGACCATCAACATCAAGGCTCAAGTTCTGCTCTCTGTTGGAATTCACAAGAGAAATTTGAAGGGATTTATGCAAAGCATTGGGAAGACGGTCCTCTTCTGGGAGAGAGATTCCCTGCAAGATGAACCGCTTTTGGGAGTTATCCACGTCCCTTAGTGCCTTGTACTCGGCATATTTTTGATGAATCAATTCTTTCTCGAGGACTTTCTGTAGTGAATGGCATTTGCAAACTTTGCAAATTCTGACAAGATCTTCCATGTCATCTACTGCTATATCAAGTCTGTCGGAATAAAAGAAATGGATGAGGCTATAAAGAGCATGATAAGACAGTTTTTCCCTTGAGAACCGTATTTCCTTTCTATCCTTCCACTCAGTCTGAAATTTCTTTTTGAAGAAAGGCGAACGTGCAGTCAAGATTACTCTGTGAGCTTCAATAGGCCTACCATGCGCATAGAATACAACATCTGGAGGAAAGTGGCTGGGGCTGGATCCTCCATTTTCTGAATTACCTATTAATTATCCCAGACCACCATGTCATTTTTGAGTGCATGAAGACAATCTGGACAAAGAATCAGAGAGTGTGATATATGCATACAGCTAAAGAACCAAAGTAGAATATCCAATGAATCCAAATTTTCGATTAGCTCATGTGAGAAAACAGTAAGCAAGATAAAAACAGTGTTAGAAAAAGTCATGAGTTCCCTATCATTGCAAGATCTAATAAGTACAATCTATCCAGTTATACAATCACGCACAACGCAAGAGGCTTCACCAGGCCTATAGTGAGAGCAGATGTAATTCACAAGCCAAGGTTGAGTGATCAAATTCTGTGTCTAAAGATTTAACACCAGAAAGGAACAGTAATACAATGGAAAACTGAAATACCAATCTCAGCAACACATGAAGAGATTTATGATTGTTACACTATCATAGTGCAACAGCTAGTCAAGAAGTCATATTAGCAGACTATGTATTTATTTTCGTATTTAAGTTACTTCTGGTAGCCTAGGTATTTCCTTCCATGTACTTGTGATGACCCAAAATGCCACCTTTAAATTAAATAACTATTTCGATATTTTAAGACCTTGAAAAGCAGTATCAATAATTCCTCGACTTGCATGCGCAGTCCATATAATTTTATTTTTTTTTTGATTTGCACCGGGTGTCCGAGTCTCTTCGAGCCCCGACTATTCCCGGGGGTGCACAGGCCCTCGGCAAGGAGTTTCCCACAAGTGCACCACGGTTAATTCAGGTTTTACCCAGTTCGATGGCCCTCAGAAATTGTTTGCACCCAGTGGGTTTCGAACTTGAAACCTTGAAAGGGAGCAAACCCCAAGGCTCAAGTCAATTGCCACCAGACCATATAATTTTCCGGAAGTTTTTTTTTATGTGAAAAATGGATTAAATTATGAGTTAGAGCTTTAAAACTCAACTGAGTTGACTTCGGTCAACATTTTGAGCAAACGAACCCGGATCCAAGTTTTGACCATTCCGGTAGTTCCGTATCGTGATTTGGGACTTGGTCATATGTCCGAAATCGAATTCGGAGGTCCCTAGCTCAAATTATCGCCATTTAACGGAATCTAGAAATCTAAGGCTAAAGATTTCTTAAGTTTGACCAGAGATTTGACTTTTGANGGCAAGGAGTTTCCCGCAAGTGCACCACGGTTAATTCAGGTTTTACCCAGTCCGATGGCCCTCAGAAATTGTTTGCACCCAGTGGGTTTCGAACTTGAAACCTTGAAAGGGAGCAAACCCCAAGGCTCAAGTCAATTGCCACCAGACCATATAATTTTCCGGAAGTTTTTTTTTATGTGAAAAATGGATTAAATTATGAGTTAGAGCTTTAAAACTCAACTGAGTTGACTTCGGTCAACATTTTGAGCAAACGAACCCGGATCCAAGTTTTGACCATTCCGGTAGTTCCGTATCGTGATTTGGGACTTGGTCATATGTCCGAAATCGAATTCGGAGGTCCCTAGCTCAAATTATCGCCATTTAACGGAATCTAGAAATCTAAGGCTAAAGATTTCTTAAGTTTGACCAGAGATTTGACTTTTGAGCAAACGGCCTCGGAATGGAATTTTTGATGATTCCAATAGTTTCGTATGGTGTTTTGGACTAAGGAGCATGTTCGGATTTGAATTTGGAAGTCCGTAGGACAATTTGACGCATTTTGGCGAAAGTTAGAAATTTGAAGGTTTTTGAGAAGTTTGACCGAGAGTTGACTTTTTGATATCGGGGTCGGATTCCGATTCCGGAAGTTGGAGTAGGTCCGTAATATCGAACGTGACTTGTGTGCAAAATTTGAAGTCATTCCGGAATGATTTTGGTAAGGTTTGAGACACTTAGTCTCTTTTAAGGAAGCTTAAGTTGGAAAAGTCAACCGGATGTTGACTTATGTGTTAGAGGGCACGGATGTGAGTTACGATAGTTCGGTTAGCTCCGGGAGGTGATTTATGACTTAGGAGCGTGATTGGAAGGAGTTTTGGAGGTTCGTAGTAGATTTAGGCTTGAATTGGCGAAGTTGGTATTTTTGGCGTTTTCCGGTTGATAGGTGAGATTTTGATATAGGGGTCGGAATGGAATTCCGAGAGTTGCAATAGTTCCGTTGTGTCATTTGGGATGCGTGTGCAAAATTTCATGTCATTCGGACGTGGTTTGGTTGGGTTTTTGATCAAAAGAGTAATTTAGAAGATTTTGAAATTCTTAGACTTGAATCCGATGCGAATTTGGTGTTGTGATGTTGTTTTGAGCGTTCCGAAAGTTGGGACAAGTTTGAATGATGTTATGGGATATGTTGGAATGTTTGGTTGAGGTCCTAGTGGCCTCGGGTGAGTTTCGGGTGGTTAAACGGACTATTTCATCTTTGGAAAAGTTGCAGATTTTTCCGAGCTTCAGCTGTGCACCAGAAAATTTCTAGTGCGAGGAGTCCAGTTTGGAAGCTCATATCTTGCAATCTATAAGGAATTAGAAAAATTGCAAAACATGAAAGTTGTAGTCCTAGCATTCTAGTTTCCAGAAAGTTAAACTATTTATGATTTGAATATTTTATCATAAAGTTATGATGGATCGAAGATGGCTGGTGGGGCAGTTTCGACAGAATTTTCTGTTGCACTTTAGAAGCTCATATCTCGGAATATATAAAGAGTTATATGGTGTACAACCTATCAAATGAAAGATCTTCGAGTCTAGTTTCTAAATCTTCAAACCGTTTGTCATTTGGATATTTCCACAAGGAGTTATGGGCGTTTTAACAGAAGGTGTACAGCAGGGGAAAATGGTAAGAGGATGTACAACCCGCACAGCGCAAGCTACAACTCGATGAAGACCGGGCAGATTGTTTTAAACACGAGTTTTAGCCCATTTCTTTCATTCCTTTCATTTGGCTTGGACGATTTTGGAGAGCTCAAGGAGGGATTTTCACCAAGCAACACTAGGTAAGTGATTTCTTCCTATTTTTGAGTTAAATATATGATCTTACATGGATTTAGACATGAAAATCAGTAGAAAAAGGTGGAGTTAGGGCTTGAGATTATGAGACCTTCAAGGGATGATTTGAGGGGTCAAACGATCTCCGATTTTCGAGTTCTTTATATGTACGGACTCGTGAGACGATGAAGAACATTTTGGTATAAAGTTTGTCTAGTTCCGGCGGGCCCGGGGGTCGGATTTTGACTGATTTCGGGTTTTGTGTTTAAAATCGATATTTTCAATTGGAATTAATTCATTTAGCATAATTTGATGATAAAAATCTGAACTTGGTAGATTTTGAGCACTCGGAAGTTGGGTCGAGAGGCAAGCGTGTTGCATAGTAGCTTTTCGGGCTAGTTCGAGGTAAGTAATGATTGTAAATGTTGTCCTGAGGGTATGAAACCCCGGATTTCACATCGTTGTGCTACTTTGAGGTGACACACACGCTATATGACGAGCGTGGGGTCGTGCACCGTTGGGGATTGTGACTTAGTCCGTCCCGTATGACCGTTAAACCGCGTATTTAATTGAAAATTGTTTGATATCATTGTGTTTTGGAAAGTATTATCATGTTTTGGGCTGAATGTCATATTTGGGCCTCGTGCCAACTGTTTTGGACCCTTAGGGGATTTTTACTACTATTCCTTACTGTTTTGACTTCATATTTGTACTCAGTCATGTTGTATTCTACTGTTTTCATAACTCAGCCATATTTACTCCGTTTTGATATTTTAAATGATATTTTGGGCTGAGCATCATGTTTTACTGTTGCCCGAGTGGCATGAGAGATTTTTGACTGAGTGAGGCCGAGGGCCTGTGTTGTGAGGATACTATAGGATCGGGCTGCGCGCCGCAGCAGTGTTATATTGATTCATGATTTTGAGGCCGAGGGCTTGATTTGTTACGCCACGAGGTGGCTTGTTGATATGAGGCCGAGAGCCTATTTGATTATGCCACGAGATGGCTTGTTATTGTGCTTGGGTCGTAAGGGGCCCCTCCAGGAGTCTGTACACCCCAGTAAGCGCGGGTACCCAGTGTGAGTGATATGATGTAGCCCGAGGGGCTGTTGTTGTTTCATATTGTTGCCCGAGGGGATGTTCTTGATCCATGTTTTGCCCGAGAGGCGGTTCTTGATTCATGTTATGCCCGAGGGGCTGATTACGAGTGATTGTGAGGTAGCCCGAGGGGCTGGTTCCGTTGATATTATGCCCGGGGGGCGGTTTATGGTACATATTTTGCCCGAGGGGCTGTTTACATTTCTATCATTTTTACTCACTGTTTTATCACTCATTTGAAACTATTGAAAGTTGTTTTAAAAGGTTTTACTGAAACTGAGCTTGATTTACGAAGTAAATGGTTTCTGTACTGTTTTTGAGAAATATACGGTATTTGTTGCAGTGCTATGATGTGAAATTATGTGTTTTTTTTACTGCTCAGCTTTCATTTACTTTTATTACTTACTGAGTTGGTGTACTCACATTACTCCCTGCACCTTGTGTGCAGATTCAGGTATTTCTGAACCCAGTAGCGGGTGTTGATTGCTCAGTGGCAGAGTCATCAGAGTTAGCAAGGTAGCTGCCCAACGTTCGCAGCCCTGCTCTTCTCCCTCTTGTCTTCCTTAGACTGTTTTTAGTTAATTTCAGACTCTTCATTGTATTCAGACCTTAGTAGATGCTCGTGACTTGTGACACCCCGATGTCGGGCTGTATTTATTTCCGCACTTATTCTATTTCGCTAAATGTATACTTGTTGGGGATTTATTCTTATAAATGACTTAAATTGACTTATTAAATTGTTAAAAATAAATTTGGGAATTGTGTCGGCTGGCCTTGTCTTCACGAGAGGCACCATCACGACCGGGTCCGGTTTGGGGTCGTGATAGTACTAAGATTCCCAAGTAAAGGATTCCGAATTCAAGGCCAAATTCCTGTAAATTGTGGTTTCTCAGCATTCTAAGTAAACTTTCTTTTAACAAAAGTAAGTAGCTTTCTGCACCCTATAATTCTTTGAAGTAACTACAAGGAGACTGCATTACGAATGGTGTAATGAGCTCAAAAAGGTCAACCATGGCATCAATGTCATTTGCAACAGCCATGTTGAACCAAAAAAAAGAGTGAGGATATACATCTGTATTTAATATTGTTTACAAATTCCGATTTACTCTAAAAAGTTCTTGCATTCCTTTCTTTCCATATAGTCCGCCATATCGCCGAAGGAATGGAGTTCCAAGTTTTCCTTTTTGCCTTGTTTTTACAGAGACTTTTTTTTTATAAGGTAAATTGTATTAATCAAAAGGGAGAGAATTCCCGTATACAAAAAGTATACCAAAAAGTAGAGAATTTCTACATAAACTCTCTTATAAGTGGGTGAAGAAAATATTTGGGACAGTTCTTTCTCCATTATTAGACTGCTCAAGACTAGTTGAATATGTTCACATTACACGGGGTAAATTGCAGCTCAGTATGCCGTACCAAATGAGAACTAAACAAGCAATACCAAAAAATACGGATTGTTGTAACTTGGCATTATTTGGCACAGGACAAGCATAACAGATTCCATGAAGGTCAAGGAGCTATGCAGAGCGAACACTTCCGACATGTCATGCTATTTTGATTTTTGGCAGAAAGATTGCCTTTAGATCATATGGTTCAAAGAGTTTGTGCACCTTCTAAAGACCTTTGCGTTGCCTGCTACTTGTAGATGGTTATTTTGCTGTCACAGTTTTAAATTATCACAGTCCTCTTTCAGAGTACTTGAGTGCAAGTCCAGTGACAAGATGCATGAAGCAGAAGTAGAAGTGAAGATTGATACACAAGTCATCCTCAAAAGGGATAGTTTCAAGTAACTTGGGTCTATAATTCAAGGCAAAGGGGAGATTGACGAGGATGTTACTCATCGAATTGGAGCGTGGTGGATGAAATGGAGGCTTGCTTCTAGGGTTCTGTGTGATAAGAATGTGTCACCAAGACTTAAGGGTAAGTTCTACGGAGCGGTGGTTAGACCGACTATGTTGTATGGGGCTGAGCGTTGGCCCGTAAGGATGTCCCATGTCCAAAAGATGAAGGTAGTTGAGATGGATATGTGAGCATACCAGGAAAGACAAGATTAGAAACAAAGTTTTAGGGACAAGGTGGGAGTGGCCTCTGTGGAGGACAAAACGCGGGAATCGAGGCTGAGATGGTTCGGGCATGTTCAAAGGAGAGACATAGATGCCCCGGTCAGGAGGTGTAAGAGGTTGACCATGACGGGTCGGAAGAACTGGGGTGAGGTGATTAGACAGGACTTGTCACTGCTCCAGCTTACCGAGGACATGACCCTCGATAGAAAAGGATAGAGGTCAAGAATTAGCGTTGAAGGTTGACAGGTAATCGTTAGTTTCTCTTAGGCTCACCAGTGGTACTAGTACTATTCTTGTATTTTCTTATTCCTGGTTCTTTATTACATGTTGTGTCATTCGCTTTCATTACCTTATTTCATTGTTGTTGCTATTGTTTGTTGCTTTATTTTCATTGTTCCTTGAGTCGAGGGTCTATCGGAAATAGCTTCTCTACCTTCACAAGGTAAGGGTAAGGTCTGCGTACACATCACCCTCCCTACCCTCCACCTAAATGAGCTGGTCAGTTCACATAAAAGTCCAGTACTCCATACTTCAGTCTCAAAGTTAGACCATTTTCCCTTCCTCCAATGTTGGATATTATCTCAAGGCAGTCTTCTACTTCTTGTACATAACAAAAGAAAATACTGTGTCCCAAACTATTTCGGACTGAGGCATATCAGTTCTCAACACACACACATATCCAGGTATGGATAACCAAAGAGAATCAAATTCAGTACTATTTATAAAAAGAATAAGTAGGAATATAAAGCTCAATATGCCCACATACCCGAAATAGGAACTTGACCTTCGGATTGTTCCAAATAGTTCCTATTAGCCCAACAAGCCAAAAAAGTATCTCTTAAAGCAGCTTGCAAAGGTCCAAGTGGCGGAGGACGAGCTTCAAAGGCTTTAAGCAATTTCCTAACTTTAAGATTAAGGGCAGCGTAATGGCAACGGTCACCATCAAAAGTATGTTCGGAACAAATAGCACCACTTTCCAATAACATTCGGGCAGCATCAAGGTGACCAGCAAGACAAGCATAATATAGTGCCACTGAATCCCATTGGTCTCTCGCATTCACATTCACACCTGACTCTAACAGGTATTTTAGCCGGCCGACGTCCCCGGCTCTTGACGCTTCGAAAACGTCGCCGTATGGGACTTTTTTTAAGGGTAGACATGATTTGAAATCCTCAGGGTCTAAGTCTATGTTGTCCAGGTCAGACATAGTAGTGAAAGCGTGTGAAGACATGACTTTGAGGTTGCTGTTGGATGAATTTGGGATTTTGAATTTGAGGGGTTTGGTTTGGGATTTTGGAGTGGAGGAAGAAAACGGGTAGTTCCAATGATTGAGGAATGAGGCTATGGCATTGGAAAATGATGAAAGTTTGTAGCAGAAAGAAGTAGAGGATTGACAAGAAGAACAGTGGAAAATGTAGAGTGGGTGTCGGTTTATGGCTGTAAGCCTGTACCCTTCGCTGATCGCCTTGTATGGGCTAGCCCACTTCTTCCTACAACATCTTGCGGAGAAACTTAGTCAGATTTCCACGATAAGTATGTTGGAACTCCAGCATAATATGATGGAGTTCCAACATAAGTACACTAGAACTCCAGCATAATATGATGGAGTTCCAACATAAGTACACTAGAACTCCAGCATAATCCAGTAAGTATAATGTCCAGTATAATATACTGGAGTTTAGAGCACTAGTGCTCCAGTTTCCAGTATATTATACTAGAGTCAGCAAAGTATATCGATCCAGCATAATATGCTGGAGTTCCATACACAAGTGCACCGAACTATTATGCTGGACCGGTCTCTGTTGCAGCAAAATAGTGGCTATTTTTCATTGACTTCCTAAACGCTGGCTATTTTTGAATGACCAGTCCGAAAACTGGCTATACCGCGCTATTTTTACAACATCTTCCGAATCGTGGGCCTTGGTTTGCAAAAGTGATACCTTTATTTGGTAATAATAGCACGGTATAGCTAGTTTTCGGACTGGTCATTTAAAAATAACCAGCGTTTACGAAATCAATGAAAAATAGCCATTATTTTGCTGTAACAGAGACCGATCCAGCATAATATACTGGAGTTCGGTGCACCTGTGTATGAACTCAGCATATTATGCTGGACCGGTATACGTTGCTGACTCCAGTATAATATATAGGAGATTGGAGCACAGGTGCTCCAAACTCTAGTATATTATACTGGACAATTATACTTGCTTGAACTCCAGTATATTATGCTGGAGTTCTAGTGTACTTATGTTGGAACTCCATCATATTATGCTGGAGTTCCAGCATACTTATCCTGGAACTCCAGTATAATATGTTGGAGTTCAAGCATACTTATGCTGGAACTCCAGTATAATATACTGGCGTATTTTTCGGATTTTGAACAGTGTTTTCGCTCGGATTTATCTTTACATGAAAAGTGGCTAAATTTCGATTACTTTTGAAACTGGGCTATTTTTGAACGAACAGTTGTAAATCTGGCTATTTTTGAATTTCTCCCCTTTATTTGGGCTATTAGTTAGCATATAGCGCCGGCATTTGCAAAGTAGTTAAAAAATTAAAAAGGAATTTTTTCGTTTCTATACACTATTTGAAACTTTATTACCAAAAATATTTCATTTATGGAATTTACCCGATCTAAACACGTTTAGCTACAAAAAAATATACATTTGTTTAAACTAGACTCCTTTCTACGGTAAACTTCCTTATTAGACGCACAATTTTGGGATAGCTTATATCAATGTTTTAAGAGGCGGAGGCGTGAAGCGGGGCGTTTTACCTCTGATGGGGCGATGCGTAAGCCCTGCGACATGGGGCGTAAGTCCCATGGATCTTTAAATTTTACTAATTTCAAGAATTTTAAGATAGTATAAAATAAAAAATAATTATAAAAATTACAATAGAATCACAAAATTATAACAAATAATCTATTTAAAATATTTATAAATTATAATTTAACTATGAATAATATGAAAAGTATGACATATATCATAGTATGCAAATTAGCTACAACGTCGTTATAACTCAAACATCAAAAGTAATGTATTTGATGTGAAATCTTATATGTATCTCTGAAGGAGTAATAAATCTTAAAAGTATTATAATTTATATTTTTTTAAATACTCCTTTTATTTAATATGCTTTCTATTTGAAAGAGAATTCATATAAAAGCATAATTCACAATTTAAATATGATTCTCTAGCACCACTTATTTTTTAAGTTTCAACAAGTTAATAAAGGTACACATAATTCACCATGATAACTAATTATTTGTAAATAGTTACTAGCTAATAATAGGCTATTAAATTAATAAATATTGTATCTTGTAATCATGAAAAAAAAAATTAGGTAAATAATTATAAAAAAAATATTGGACTATTATATAATAAAGACATAAGAAAAGTTAATAAATAAATACTTTTAAATGAAAGATTTATTTAAAATTTACTATCATAGAAGTCTTAGTGGATAACGTGCAATAATTTTTATTTTAATTATGACATACAATACTCTCAACTTAGTGATTAATGAATAAGAAAAAAGTAATTTTGAATAGTCAACAATTTATTAAGAAAATTTGAGGATTTACAAGGTTAGTTACATACAATTGCATAAAGTTTTATTAGGCGATCCAAGTACGGTGGGCGTTGGGCAAGTACGGGGCGTAAGCCCCGACGGCCGAGGCGTAAGTCTCACGGAACTAAGCCCCACACATAAGCCCAGAGGCGTTTTACGAGTGCTCTGCCCCGGGTGGAGTCCCAGTTCTACCTTTTAAAACAGAGGCTTATATTTCATTTAGAAATTTTAGATGCAATCATCGCACTATAATCAAGGAAAACATATCTGTAGAATCCTTCTATTATGCAGATTTTCTCTGGTTATCATCGCACAATAATCAAGGCAACATGTCTGTAGAATCCTTCTATTACGCAGATGTCACGACCCTAAAACTGACCCGATCGTGATGGCGCCTATCATGAAACTAGGCCAGCCGACACAACTCCTTAATTAACCATTAATCAATATCATTTTTAAGCCGTTAATTAATCAAATGTCTCATAATTTAAGTCTAAATAAACAGTGCGAAATTAATATACAAGCCCGACATCGGGGTGTCACAAGTCATGAGCATCTACTAAGGTTTGAATACAACTAGAGTCTAAGAATGTACTAGATACAGTCTAAGAAGACAAGAGGGAGAAAAGCAGTGTTGCGAACGTCGGGCAGCTACCTTACTAAGTTCGATGACTCGGCCACTGAGCAATCAACACCCACTACCGGGTTCAAAAATACCTAAATTTGCACACAAGGTGCAGGGTAGGGGTGTGCATTCGATTTATCGATAATTACTTATCGATTATCAATTTGTACATATGTTTATCATTATCATTTCAATAAGGTTTCGATTTTTTCGATTTCGATTTATCAATTTTTGGGGCTTATCGATTCGGTTATCGATTACACCAATAAGAAAATTTGCGGGATTCCACGGAAAGTATATTGCTATAAACACGCCTAACTAATATAGACAAAAAGAAGCTAAAATAAGAGAACACCATTTATGACATAAAAATTGTGTCAACAAGCACATGCAACAAAACTAAAGTAAGGGATCAAATGTATGCCACCAACACTCCAATGGTATAAAAAAAATAAAAATACATCATCACGGTTAATTCTATTTTCCATTAATTTGAACTTCATTCCCTTGAGCTTTAAATATGATCATTCCTTAAATGTGGTAGATGAAATAATAGGGTTAGGGACTTAGGGTAAAGGAAAGGGTATTATAGAATAAGGGTAAAAAAAATTAGTATATCTTATCGGTTTATCGATAAACCGATAACAAATAATCGATTCGATTTATCGATAAACCGATAACAAATAATCGATTCGATTTATCGATAAACCGATAACAAATAATCGATTCGATTTATCGATAAACCGATAACAAATAATCGATTCGATTTATCGATAAACCGATAACAAATAATCGATTCGATTTATCGATAAACCGATAACAAATAATCGATTCGATTTATCGATAAACCGATAACAAATAATCGATTCGATTTATCGATAAACCGATAACAAATAATCGATTCGATTTATCGATAAACCGATTCGAATGCACACCCCTAGTGCAGGGAGTAATGTGAGTACGCCAACTCAGTAAGTAATAAAGGTAAATGGAAGCTGAGCAGTAAGAAACGCGTAAACCACGTCAAAATGATACAATAAAAGTAAGACATTTCCAACACAGTAAAGAAATCATTTACTTAAAAAATATCATGCTCAATTTCGGTAAACCTTTTAAAACAACTTCCAATAGTTTCAAACGAGTGATAAAACAGTGAGTAAAACTGATAGAAAACGTAAACAGCCCCTCTGGCAAAACATGTATCACATACTGCCCCTCGGGCATATTATCAACAGAACCAACTCCTCGGGCTACCTCACAATCACCCGTAATCAGCCCCTCGGGCATAACATGAATCAAGAACCGCCCCTCGGGCAACAATATGAATCAAACAACAACCTCTCGGGCTACATCACATCACTCACACTAGGTACCCGCGTTCACTGGGGGTGTACAGACTCCGAGAGGGCCCCTTACGGCCCAAGCGCAATAACAAGCCATCTCGTGGCATAATCAAACATGCTATCGGCCTAATATCAAGACACCTCGTGGCGTAACAAATTAGGCCCTCGGCCTTATAATCATAAATCAGTACCACACTGCTGCGGCGCGCAGCCCAATCCCATAATATCCTCACAACACAGGCTGTTGGCCTCACTTAGTCAGAAATCTCTCATGCCACTTGGGCAACAGTAAAACACAATGCTCATCCCAAAAATATCATTTAAAATATCAAAATGGAGTAAATATGGCTGAGTTATGAAAATAGTAGAAAACAGCATGACTGAGTACAAATATGAAGTCAAAACAGTGATGAATAGTGCATTCAGCCCAAAACATGATGATAGCAAACAGTTTTCAGTCAAATACGCAGTTTAATAGTCATACAAGACAGACTAAGTCACAATCCCCTACGGTGCACGACCTCACGCTCGTCATCTAGCATGAGTGTCACCTCATAATAGCACAACGATGTGAAATCCGTGGTTTCATACCCTCAGGACAAACATTTACAATCATTACTTACCTCAATCCGGTCCAAACTCTAACCCGCGATGCCTTTGCCTCTCACTCGGCCTCCGAATGCTCCAAATCTAGCCAAAAGCAAATTCATACCATTTATGCTAAGGGAACAAAGTCTACTCGAAAATATCCAATTTATACCAAAAATCCGAAATTGGCCAAACCCGGCCCCCCCAGGCCCACGTCTCGGAATCCGATAAAAATTACATCAATAGAATCCTTACACTCTCACGAGTTCGTACATACAAAGAACATCAAAATCGGACCTCAAATGGCCCCTCAAATCCCCAATTCAACTCTCTAATTTTTCTTCCAATTTTCATTCCAAA